TCTGTTTACTGGTAAATACGCTACTTCTTCATATATGTCATAAATGAAGTTGAGAATTGTAGTAAATATGAATATTAGTGTGCTTTTTAATAGGAAGAAAAACACGTAGCTGTTTGACCCATGCATGGAAGCCTTTTAAAACACAAAAGGGGATTAACAATCTTCTGCATGTAAACTAACTTCAAGGATAGCTGTCATATTTTTATGTTAAAATATTTTGTGTTGTTATATGGTTGCAATGCCCTTGGTTTATATAAGTTTAAAATGGCACAGTTCTTAGTTCTGAATTACTGTTTGACCAGTTTCTCAGTCTGTAGTATTCTGTAGTTCAGATTTTATCTTCTATGTTCGTCATCATGTAGTGGATGTAGTTTGATGCCAGTGTAGCAGCACTTGTTTATTGGTCAGTGGAATTGAATCATTGTTTGACATCTGATAGAAGGATGGTAGTGTTGGTCATTTGAAAGGAGGAATGCAACTGGCGGAAAAGTGTAACAGTTTTTGAGATGCTGTCCAACATACTTGCTATATTTTTCTTTTGTGTAGAGCATGTGTCTATCTTTAATCTTGTGTTTTCTTATAATAATATTTTTACTGGCTGGTGATATTCAGGTAAAATACTGCATTTCAGTTTCATAGCTACATTGGGGCTTTTTTATATCAAAAGGTACACATTAGTTTGTTCTTTCATGCCTTTATCTTAGCTTTAAAAATACAAATTTCCTTTTCAGTCTGGACAGCATTGTTTTAAGTTTTTTCAGTAAAGTACATTATAATACACTTATTGCACTGAACATATTTAGTATTCACTGATATACGTGTGTGTGTATTGTTTTAAATTTGTATGTCTTTACAAATATTATTAGAGTGTTCGGACTATGGAGGATGAGATGGATACAACCATCATCTTCTCAGAGACTCTTCTTCATGGAGTTAGTTATATCTGCACATGATTTTTTAGTGTTACGTGATTGAATACCTCTGTTTAAATCTTAGTGATGTAAGTGCAAGTAGAAAATCATTGATTTTGTTTTTACTGTAGGGAGATGGGCTGTTGGCTTTCTTTTGCTTCTTTATTACATCATGCTTGTTCACATTGGTTAGATGAATTCAGTGTTTTGTCCTTTCACTAATAACCACAGTATTTTTTGGCCTGTAATTTTTATTTCTGTCTGGTGATGACTATAATTTATCTACCTTCATTTAAAAGAGTATATACTAATTTCTGCAGACAGGTAAACAATGACTAAGGTGACTTGTCTTTCGGGATTTTCACAATGTTGTCTAATTCGGGGGCCCTTACTGCCACCATCTTTAGGGTAACAGAGGCAGTAACCACCTCTGAAATGTCAGTTTTCATGAGAGTACACAGCATATTATTTCGTCGGACAGTCATCGTCATACTTGCTGCTGTGAGAACCTGAAATCTCACTATATATATTTCTTTTTACATTATACCTGATTCCAGTCTCTCTTGGTTTTTATTTTGTTGTTGTTTTCTGTTTGTAGGCGCCCTGTACCCACTATCCCCCCTAGACTCCCGGATCGGCCCAACATTCCAACAAGGCCACAGTTCTAGTTGTGGAGCAGAGCAATGGCAAGACTTTATTCATCAGACGTCACAGAGTGCTGTGAGGTGTCTGAAATTAGTTTCTACAGATTGTAACAACGGTGTACCTCAAGGTAGAAAGTGGGGTCCTAGGGACCAACAATATTGTGTTTTGCAGGATCAGGAGAATATATAAGGGACCAAGAAGACTGCAGTGTGAAAAATCAGCCTTGAAGTAATGGATTGAGATTGATAAGTAGAAAAAACTAGGCTAGAATTGCAGGCTGACTGGCTAACATTGTGTTCCCTTATCAAGATACTAGTCTTGTAACAGTCATATTGTAGCCTGAAGTATGTTTGTACAGATTTGCAGAGAACACAGTAACGAAACTTTGCATTTATTTTCTTATTTAAGGCTGTAAGACTCCTGTGCATTGTGTGAGGCAACTAAAGGCAGAGTACTGCATACTGCAAGATACCACAGCAGTGTGAGTGAGAGGTAAATTTTTTAGCCAATCAAAAAATTAATTTTTCAGCTTTAAAATTATGGGTATTCCACTTTGACTTTTATTGTTTCTTGTAATTATACAAATTTCAATGCTTTAATTGGGAGATGGCTGTATGAGTGATTTATTGGCACATTGACAGAACTAGTGCATAATTCAAGGGTGTGAAGAATGAAATCATGTACCAGCTTCTGTATTACTGTGTGATGTGAATTTAATGTTTGATAGTGATAAAGAGACATGCATAGGTTTAGAAAAATCAAATTGTTTCAGTACAAAATCAATATTGTGCCTGAATGTTTTGATGTGGCATATGGGAACATACAGTAGTTAAGTCAATGTGATAATATACACACAGTGAAGACATTTTAAAAGGAAGTTCCCAATGATTATACTGTGTATCTTTATGTTGATTAATCTATAAATGTTTTGGATATCATATTCTTTTCAGAGGCAAGTATTCATTATACTGTCATCATTGTACACACAAAAGAGGTAGTGAGAGTGGTGGTATACAAGGAAAAATAACTTATTGATGAAATTTATTTTTTTAATATAGAAGTGTGCATATCAAAGTCAAACTTTATATGGCTGGAAGAACTTACAGTAACTAAATAGAATAAATACTCCATAATGATGTAGCTGATCACATAAGATTTCATTGTGACTTTTGTACAAAACCATATTCCCAGTATTTGCATGATGAGTTATAGAAATGCATGTTACTTTGTGTATTTCAGATAAAATTCTTCATGTATGATGGTTTATTTTGTTTCTTTTAATACTGGTTTTCATGTATGCCTATAGCTAGTAATGTTAGCCAGTTTGATATGTCAGCTAATTAAACATATCATTACATTGTACAGAATGCCTACCTGTAGGACTGTGATATGCAGAATGAAAGTGTTTCATCATTTTCTGTTGGGATCAGCTTCCTGGCATCTTGGTTTTGCTGTTTTCTTTGTATATAAATATGAGATTTCAGTTGTGTGATAAATCTTGACTTCAAGAATACCCATGCGATTATATACCCCTTGTCTGTATGGGGCATAAACATTTCCAATTATGTTCCTTAGAATATGCATCCTGACTGCACTCTATACCTGACTACTGTAATTTGATTAAGTATAATGTTGTATTATGCCCATACAGAAAGTATAAGCATGTAGCAGGTTTATGAGCCTAAATATGCTGCTTTTTTAACATAGCTGTCTCAGATTAAATTTTATTTATTTTGAAAGTTTGCTGTTTGTACATCAGATGAGTAATGTGAGTTCCATTTAGTGCATAAGTTATGTATATTAAGTGTGTCCACAAAGTCCCGTCGGGGTTTTGAAAAATTATGGCGTGCAAACAAATTGAGCTAGCCCCATGCTGTTTGCGGCAGATTACAGTGAAACTCTGGAAGTTTTTTACTGACCTCAGTAGACCTCGATGTGGGCTCCCTTGGTAGCATGGAGAACATCCAGACAATATTCGAGCTCTTGCCATGTTCTGTGGAGCATGACCGTTGGAATAGCAGAGATCGCATTCCTGATACGGGTCTTCAGGTCATCAAGTCCATTAACTGGTGTTCGGAACACATTGCTCTTGACATAACCCCACAGGAAAAAATCCAGTGGTGTTATGTTTGGTGAACGTGGAGGCCAAGGCATTGGACTGTCTCTGCCGATCCATCTTCCTGGAAACATGAACACCTACCTGGACTTGCTGGAACTGTACACAGTACCACAAATTGAACACTTACAGCCACACATCATTCTGCAACAAGATGGTGCTCCACCTCATTGGGGTCTGCAGGTACGCGCGTACCTAGACAGGACATTTACAGGAAAATGGATCGGCAGAGAAAACGTCCAGAGTTTCGCTGTAATCTGCCGCAAACCGCATGCGGCTAGCTCAATTTGTTTGCGCTCCACAATTTTTTAAAACCCCGAAGGGACTTTGGGGACACACTATATAATTGTACATATCTATTGTGATATAATTGTTAATGTCTGTCTCTTTGTAACTGATTTTTCTTTAATGTGAAAATTACAAAGTCTGTCGTAATATAATTTAAAGAATGACTACTGTAATTTTATTTCACCACATTTTTAAGAAATACAGAAATCATCTCTCAAAGAAGAAAATGCACGTAGAAGAATCATAATAAATTATAATAATCCATTGGCATTTTCATCAGGTTGGGTTATTTTGTGTAAGAAATGAATCCAACACACTTACTTGATAGAAAATGCCTGAAACACATACATTGTCCATGTATATATACATATTCACACTAAACAAGCGCTCTGGATACAGCACACTTAAAAAAGAAAAATAATGTAGTAAGAACCTCTTGGATTAATGACATAATTTATAATGCAACTTTTAATTAGAGTCTGTTAATAATTATTTAGAAACATAAATACATCAACAGATTAGAAAGTGTGAGTCAAGAGGAGTTATTTTAAAACTACTTTCAATTTGTGGTTATACATTTGATTTTGAGTGGAAGCTTTTGACACATTTTGTATCCCTTCATAGTAGACTACTTTGTATATATATTCATCATGCTCTGTTGTGGGCCAGGGACACCTTGTCAGCCCTTCTGTCTCTCAGTTTTCACAATAATGGAACCAAATTCCCGTTGTTGCATACATGGGCCTCAGATCAAATGGCAAGAATGACCTCATCATATATATCCCTTCCAGGCCTGTTAATAGGCATAACTCCAATAGCCTACATTTTAACTAAGATGAGAACGAACGCTAAGTAGCGACATCTGTAATCATTTACTATCGATATTTTACAGGTTGATCCTTTATCTGGATATCTTCACTCGTACAATATAATTTTCAACATTGTGTTTCGGATTCGATATATATCGATGTAAGACCACGTAAGATAGTTCCAAACGTAACATGCGATTGGATGAAATATGAAATACGAACCAATGACAGTACTTGTTGGTCGATGAACATTGACAAGTGCAATGGATTCCGTGGAAAGTGAGTGATTCTGGTGTAGAATATAAAATACGCTTATTATTATGTCAGTGGAGGAAAGTGAAAGTGATTATGAAAGAAATAAGCTACATTGGTTTATCGCCTGCCGATGGAAGTTATTTTACAAAGTTAATATAATTTTCATACTTGTTTCTGTTCACCTATTTCCATCTCTTCATAATGCACAAGCTCAACGTTCTCGACATATGTGCTATTTTGCACATATTTTTGCATACTAATTCCTGTAGATATTACATTAATGTGAAGAAGATTATATTTGCATTCATATCTCAAATTGCTTATTGATTATGTGTAGTTCTTTTATAAGGAGCAGGAAACCGCAACAGTGCTTTATAGGGTTGACATTTGAACATTATGAGAAAATGCAAATATTTGTGTAAGAAGAATTTTTAGTAATTCAGGTAATCAACAGAGAAGTGAAATTTTAAGGAAACGTGAAGATTTTTGTTGCAGAGACTTGTTCCAGTTCCGAACGTTTTGAATTCGTCCAGCTGTGTGAGGGTTTTAATAACTATTTTCATGCAAGAAAGGACAGTTTGATTAAGTGAAATAGACTCTGGGGCCAATACATGTCGGTTACATTGACAAATGACTGAAACATGGCGTTCATGATGAAGAAAAAGAAATATAAGTTCCAAGTGGAACTATGTTTGGAGGAATTAGCTGCTGTTCCATTTGTGAATGCTGTCCTTTTTGCTAAGGTGCGTCTTCTAGACGGAGGAAATTTCAGTGAGATCTCGACCAGGTATGATAATTGTGTTTTTCATTAGTTAGGTAAGAGGGGAATTTAGGATTAATTTGAAAGTTGTGTGTATGTGTGAGTGTATATATAGTGTATTATTGGCCACAGGTTTTTGAAAACAACTACCTTAATGTGGGATATTTCAAACTTTTCAGTTACAAGTACTAGGCAGGTAGATATAGATGCATTCCATATATCCTAGTAAGTATTAAATGGAATAGTTCAGAGTACAGTACATCATTCAGAATATTCCCCATATTTGTTCCCAAATTAATATACCAACTAAATAACTATACACAGTGAGAATATTTTTGATCATCGTTCTAGTCACTGAACCTCTGAGGTGGAAGAGTTGAATGATCCATCTGTTGCATCAGTCCATGGAGATTCAGACTACTGGTGGAACCAACAAATCTACAGCCTTAACATGTCAAAAGTATAACTTACCCTGATTACAATTGATGCTGGAAATGCTGTCTCTTCTTCTTCATGCATTTCTTGCTCTTTCCTGTAAGTTGCATTCATACATAGAAGTTTTTTGAAACAAAAGAAAGTTTCCTTCAGATATTTTTCTTCATGTCTTTTGTTATATGGCAGTTTGATTTGTAAACATTTTGCTTTAGTTACACAGGTTGAGGTCAGGGGAGTATTGTGACAATGAACAACTAGATACTAATTATTTTGTCCCCAAACAGTTCATTAAGAGCATTTTTCAATGCCTTTGCTATATGAGAAGTAGCGTAGTCTGTTAGAAGAATGCATATAGTCACTCTGTTAACAGGATTGTGTGGTTGCAATTTGTGCACTACTGTTGTCTTGAGTGGTTTCAATTTTAGGACCTTTGTGGCAGTTCATGCTGATAATTTTGAAATCCCTATCTCTTGTGCAGGGCATGTAAGAGATTTACAAGGAGCATGTTCAAGCCAAGTAACAAATATCATCCAGTTCATCTTCATTGAGCAGTTTTGGCTTTTCTGCCCACTAACAATCCTGTTGTTGTTAATTTGTTAACCATTCTATGAATAATTCTTCAATGTGGAATTGTAACATTCTGCGATTTATGCTGGAATTTTCTCTTTAATTTTTTTTTTTGAACCACTTGTCACACAGGCACTGTACATATAAACACTTATTCCAGTGATATATCTGGTTCTCGTGGTGGCAAGTATGAAGATGGCAGTCGTCTGTGTTATTTCACGGTGTATTCTGGTAGATGTTTCCCAACATTTCAGAGGCACTCATCATTAGTACCCTGATGATGGAAGCAGCAAGCATCTTGGAATAGTCACTAAGATTCTACTAACCTGCACAGAATAACAACCTAGAAGACAGCTATCATCACTCATTCCATTGTCTGTCCTGCATGATATTCTGAAAGAAGAACTGATGTGAATGAGTGAATAACTACTTATAGAGCTCAAGTAGGCTTACTGAGCAGGAGTTAAAGGAACATAGGATTGAGAATCTAGGGTTAATTCAGCTCATAATTCATAAGCTTTCTTCATGGTAGCCATTCTGTTATTTACTGGAGTGCTTCAGGAAATTTTCACTATAATATTTAAAGAAACACTTCCACAGGCACAAAACTGTATGTGGAATTTAAAACGAGACACATCATTACAGTCATTAGTCATTTATGAGTCGTATAAAGCAGAGTAGAAGGTGTTAGTCAAAAGAGGTTTATGGTTTATGTCTTAAAACCTTTAGGTATGGGAATGTTATAATAATTGTTTAATGACAAATGTTTCCAAAGCCAGATCACTAGTCATGTGGCCATCTTATATCATAGCATCTTGTAATAGGGATTTGTTCTTGTGTGTGTGTTTGTTTACTAAAAGTGTTTGGGCAGTGATTATGTTTTTCATGACCTAGTTAGTTTGTCATTGTAGTAGAAAAAGAAATAAGCATTTTTATTTGTTTCTAATTTAGCACCCAGCCTCCTATCCATTGGGTACAATGGGCATTTCCTGGGGGGTAAAGTGTGGCTGAGGTGTGATGCTAACCACACACCCCTACATGGGGATGAGGTTAAGAATGAGTGTGAGTTATACTTCCTCTCCCCCCAAGTGCCTGCATGACATTTAGTGGGACAGCTTTACCTTTTACTTTATTTCGTGTTAGGTTTATGTAATCTACATTCTGCCCTTTATACTGTAGTCCCATTGTTAAAAGAGGAATAGATGGGCAAATAAGTTGATTTCAAAGATTACATGTTATACTTAAACATTATTGTGTTTTGATAGGCAGAATACACTGATTTTGGCGAAAGTTCTGGGAGAAACTTAAAATAATTTCCTTTAGATGCTGTTGTCTAATATAGAGAGGTTAGCAAAAGGTATAAATTAGTGATTGTACAACTTATTGATCTCTACACATAATTTTTAATAATATAGATTGGCCTGTTTCTTGAGTGAGTGTCAGTTTCTCAGGATGAAATCTGCTCCATGGAGTTCATTATTTAATGTGTGTGTATAACCTTTTGACATTTGAAACCAAAAATTTCTCTCAAGGTTGTACTATGGTAGTAAATAATAGAAAAATGTGAAATGTTGAATCTTTCATCTTTCTATTTACCAGCAGTAGTATAACATATCTCTCATTGTGATATATTTTGTCATATATTACTTAGTGATAAAATCCCTTTGTATAAAGTGAAGCTTTCGCATTTTACATACATACATTGCCAGTATGGGAAGGGAATTTAACATACACAGCACTAAAAGTAGTTAAATATGATTGCCAATGGAAAAGAGTAAATTATTTTAATATATTTCCTTAACACTGAATATGTGGGAGAGATTTTAATAAGTAAGAACCTGGTGAAATTAATGGCAGTATGCAGTGCAATGTTCAAGGATACCTACTATGCTTTCTTGACAGTCACTATGCCCTACGAATCCAATGGACTATAGCAAGAGACGACTGCAATGCAACAATCGGCCAGCATTCTAGATGCGTAAAGTGAAGCTTTCGCGGCGACTGAAGTTGATGAAAGACTCTTGGGCTACAAGCCATGTCAGGTGCCTGAATGGTGAATACACCATATGCTCTGCTGACGTTTTGAGAGCGTTGGCAGAGGATATGGTGTATTCACCATTCACCACCTGACGCGGCTTGTAGCCCGAGAGTCTTTAATAAAATCCATTTATTTTTATCATATGCTCGTTATTTTCACTGTTGTGTGGATACTTGCAGTTTTTATTCTCAGAGCCGTTAGATGTTTTAACTAAACACCTGTAGCAGAACGAAAAACTTTGGCGCAACTAAGATCATAGCTTGTCTTTTGGACAATATCCAGAGTTAGTTCAGCCACCTTCCATCCTCGCAACCTATCTTTTTTTGATCCATCATAATGTTGAAGTGCCATCCATTTCTTGGTCTTCCGCGTAAACGTTTCTAAAGATTGTGTGCATTTCTTGCCCTAGATGTCTATACAGGTCCAGGCCTGGGCTGGGTGGCACGATTAATGTTCGGAACTGGTTCAAATGATTGCAATCAAAAATTACATAGAACATTTCAGTCTTTCTCGGGGCATTCTTTTTTCTTCGCAGACGATAATATATTCGTAGTTTCCGTCATCTTTCGCTCGTAACACAGTCGGGCGGCACCAACTTTTGTTTTGTTTTCTCGGGGATTTTGGTAGCCGCGCCTCCAAGAAATACTTCAAACTTGGCATCTGTTGTTGTCTTTGCACAATTCCTCAACACCCAAATAACCTCATGTGTTCTTAGAGCGTTTTTATATGTTTCATTCAAGGATTCCTGGCGTTTATGCATTCAGAGAAAACTGGGTTAATGAGACAATAGTCAGGGAAGATTGTGAATAGATCAGGCTTCATTTGGACTTCAATAAAAGTAAGTGGGGCTTGGGTGGATTACGGGTAACGTATATGAAGACAAACTTCGGGCCGGTTGAAATTTTGGAATTTTGGCTTGTGCAGCAGAACTCTGCCTTGCCCTCCTCGAACGATCAGTATGCAACACGCACATATCATAACTTAACTACATTTTACTTTCGTAACAGTTTAGGCCACCTTTGTAAGTCTCGCTGTTTAATATTCAAAATAGCTCACTTAATCTTTCATATGTACGAATGTTTTCTTTATAAGGACGGGGCAATTTGGCATTTATAATTGCCATTGGTTGAATCTTTATTCACACACTGAATGAATAAACATCAGGCAGCGTTTGATGGACTTCGATCATTGTATAGCTGTTGTTAAAAAGATTAAGAAAACCTGTACTCATTTCGTATGTTTGTTTGTTGGCCGAAGTCCTTGAAGTTGGGTAAGACATCGTGATGGCTGCACGGAGGTGTTATTATCTCTTCTTAGGTGATAGTATTAACCAGCCTTATTGCTTAATTATCCATGTTCGTTTTTGTATGCTGCTTCGAATGACGCAGACACGCGTTTTCCTGAGACCGATTTTAATTAGGTGATCATGGTTACGTCTTTGTATTGCATCTTATTATTGAAATCATACCAAAAATAATGGATAAATGAAACCATAATTGGCGTGGTAGATTGCATGACGTAAATTCAGTTTGTCATGTTTATTGACGTAAATACGTCTATATTTTAGGGTCAGTGTCATTCGGCAAAAAGTGAAACGAAAAAGTGTAACTGCATTGTTATGTTACCTTGGAAACGTCAATTGTTTACTCGGCATTGTTGTTACCTATAAAACATTTCATTACCTTACCTTACATTACCTTACATTACTTTACATTTCATTACTTTACATTACATTCAGCTACCAGACCCATCTTAAGAGTAACTAAGTTAAGTTAAATAAGCAAAGTCTTAATCAAACTTTACTCAATTGTAAAGCGGGTATAAAGGAAATATTTTGAATAAAGCCAATATATAAACTTCCTTTCCATATAGACGTATTTACGTCAAATTCTCCGGAACCGTGGTTCTACTATCACTTTTTTTCGCACGGGTTTTGCGTGCTACACTTTATCGAAGTTCTGAAATTGCTTATTTCTTATATAACTCA